CTGGCTAAGTGCCCTGCCCAGTTCCACTTAAGCGTCGTGGTTCTTTCGATGACGTCTTGAACTCCTGATCTTCGCCTGATTTGTTGGTTTGTTATGTGGTCTCGAAGGCTCACGTTCAGCATTGCACGTTCCATGGCTCGTTGTGTAACTCTAAGTTTATTCGCAGATTTTTGCGTGAGTGTTAAAGTCTCTGCTCCATAAGTTTGTACAGGTAAAACACATTGGTTATAAACCTTTCGCTTGAGACACATGGGAATTGAACTTTTTAGAATATGGCTTAATTTGCCAAATGCTGCCCATGTTAGACCTATTCGCCTCTGTATTTCTGTATTTATACAGAGGCGAAATGAAATTATAATGCTAATAAAAAATGAACTCATACTACTATCAACAAAAAATATAGAAATAAATACTGACGAGCAAACTGAAATTATGACTACAATTCCATTCAGTGATATCCAGCTCATTATTAAACAGCACTGTGTAAAAAATTGGCAACAAATGTGGAATTCTACTAAGGCTAACCTTAAAAACGTGAAAACTAGGATAGGCACTAAACTACAATTTCCAGAAAACAGAAGGCAACAAGTGATTATAAACCGACTAAGAATTGGACACACAGCGTTAACTCACCAGCATCTCATAACAAAAGAACTACCACCTGAATGTTCCTATTGTGAATGTCCAATAACTGTTCAACATGTATTGATTGAATGTCCTCTTTATTCCTACGAAAGAGCCATCAACAACGTACCAGAAGAAGCAAAGAAACTTAAAGATATTTTAAACAGTAATGTATCTAATACAATCAAATTCCTTAAGGACATACGTTTACTACACAAAATTTAAGTTATATTATATGTATCCCTTTGTAATTTGTAATTTATTATGTGTAATTTAATACGCAATTTGTAATTAGTAAATTTGTATTTGTAATAACAACTGTAAAATCTGTAAAACCCGCTAATAACCTTTAATGGTTGATGCGGAAATTCTAAATAAAAAAAAAAAAAAGTTTTTATGGGTGCCATCACACGTGGGAATCAAGGGAAACGAAGCAGTGGACCAAATTGCGAATGAAACTGCACTAGATGAAAGCATCTCTGTGTCACACATGATAACAAAAAACGACCATAAAATCTGCATTAAAAAACCAACTTAGGGCAGTGTAACTGGAATTCCACATCCAACAAATTAAAACATGTTATAGAAATAGTCGGCACCACCTTACCACTCCCACTCAAACGTTGTGAATAAGTGATAATAACTCGACTACGATTAAGACATACTATACCAACCCATATTCACTTAATAAATAAAGAAGCCATCCCTTTTTGCCAAAACTGCAAGATCCAAAACCAACATGAAGTATCTACTAAGCTGCCAGTTCAACCAAGTGCTGAACTATTTGAAAGACATTAAATTTTACAGTGTTTAATAGAATATATTTAAGTTATACATATATAAATTGTAAGAAATTAAATACGTGTAATTTTTGTTTGTACCCCCTGCTCATAACTCTTAGTAGTTGATGCAGGGACATTTTTGTTTAAATAAAAATAAGAAAAAAAGTTATGGGACAGTAAGTTTTTTTATTTAACATCCCTAAATATTTACAATATTTAATATAAAATAAGTAAATTATCTGACAATATTTAACAATATAAATAATATTAAAGAAAAACTGTCTTCTAGAGAGTTGTAAATTGACAATTTCTTGTGTATTCTTAGAACTGAAATATTATCACGTATGTTTTATGGTTTGGTAAGGCACCTGCTTTTAGATTCTATTTGGATTAACCCATGAAGGACGAAGTTTTCGAAAATCTTATGAATGGACAAAACTTACTTAGAAAAAGTCAAAAATAATTATTAAATATATTAAAACCTAAAAATATTGCCTGTTGCCAAATGGCAACGCTAGGTTCCTATGGCTACATTAACCGAATGAAATAAAAGTAAAAAATATTCTATGAAATTGAGAGATAATCGGCAAAAAACTTTCTATAGCTGTGTATGAAATTTAATATTACACTTTGTGCACAAACCTACTTCACATTTGGCGCATCTTGTTCTCATGATCGACCTGCATTCTTCACCTGCACACCTAATTTTCTTTTTATTTGGTACTGGTTCCAGTAAATGCCCAACTCCATCGTATCTAATATCATCAAATACTCTATGAAAGGAACGACTTGAGAGTGAACTTATTGCCGGATTTTTTATGTAGCACCCACGCATTTTGTATAGTCGTATCTAGCATCCAGGTAATCAAGCTCCTGTACCATTTTTTTGCCCTCATTCCTATTCTAAAACGGTTTATATTTTCGTCCATTAGGTCGGTGCCCCCATTGCATTATTATATTTACCAATCAGGCATGGACTTTGAACCTGGATGATTTTCTTTTCAGCTTGTGAATATCTTTTCACGAGTGATTGTGGTTCCACCCCATAACATGTTGACGCTACACTTACGACGCTGTTATCCAACCATCTTACAACTATAATACCAGTTTCTCTCTCGAGAATCGACTCTACATCACCCCTTTTGCGTTTCTGCATATTAGCTTTCGATTCTATAGGGCAGTTTTTGGGAATGCGATTTTCCCGTATTGTTCCGGTAAGGCTATAGCCACGATCCTTTATATGTTTTGGGCATATAAAGGTAATCTTGATTTATCATTGGGCAGTTCATCGAGCATTGTGACGAATGGAGCCGCACATGCTCCAAAAACTTTATAATAATGATTATTTGCTTTGGGATCGGTTTCTTGGTACATGTTGAAGCTTACACGATACCCACTTTTAGTGTTGAGGCACCAAACTTTGTATCCGAAACGAATCGGCTTTCCTTTTATGAACTGTTTACATGAGTGACGTCCAAAGTATTTCACCATAGATTCAGGGACGTAATATTCTTTATATTTTTTCTGTAAATAGTCAGCTAAGGGTCTGATCTTGTAATATTTGTCCCTTTCATCGATGGCTTCATTATTTGCAAGGTGGAAAAAACGCCAAATTGTAAGGAACCGATCTCTTCGCATAGCGTTCATGACCATTACATTACCCGTATCGCCTTTCGTATCCCAGTAAATTTTTTTTCCCGGGAGCCAATTATACCCCGATAGAATCAAAATCGCAAATAAACACCTCATTTCTCCTGCGGAAATTTTGGGGTCGGGAAAGTTCTTCTGTAGTGCATAACTCGTGCATTGGTTGGGAATGTTACTAATTATATCCTCGTCGAAAAATAATTCGAACATCTCGACAGGTGTCAACGTATTGAATGGTTCGTAGCTATATTCTGGGAAACTAGCGGCATTGTCGACCAAATCACCCGTTATCCAATTTAGGGACTCGTATTCAATTTTCTTCACTTGAGAGGTAGTTTGTGGGATGAAACTTCCGCTACTTTCCTGGGAAATATCCATCGCTTGAACTGCATCTTCTTCGATGTCGTCATCCTCCTTGTCTGCTTCTTCGCCATACATTTGCACCTCAACATTTGCTTCCAGTTGTTTTCTAGACAGATTGTTGATGAATCCTTCCCCATCCTCCTCGCCAGAATCTTCATCAGTGAGGTCTCTAATATTTGGGCGCTCAACATAAATATTTCCAACGTTGACGTCATCTTCGTAAACCATGTTCAAAGCTTCTTGTAGAGAGAAACCCCGCCTGAAAAAACAAGATGCCTGTAGATACTAGCGTTGCCATATGGCAACGCGATGAATAAAAACAAATATTGTAAAAGATCGCTTTTTTTCAAGGGTTGTCAAATATTCACAGAGGGAAAATGACCTTTCTATTAGAGCATAATTGTTACTTTAGCCACTTAGATGTAATAGTTATTCAGAAGAAATTGACAAATTAAGCTACTTACACAAATCTTATATCCATTTTTACAACTATCAAAAACGGTGACTCTCACAAACACCAACCAATTAAGTTTTTGTTAGGTGTATATCTTCAAATCACTTATTTTCTGCAGACCGGCACGTTCTTGGAAACAAAACAAACTAACCTAACCTCAAAATAATAAGATTCGTACGTCAATACCAGTGTTGCCATATGGCAACTCCAGTCCTTCATGGGTTAATACGTTCAAACTAGTCATTAAATTTTGTGCTACATTATTGGGGTAATCTGTTGGTCCCTGATCATATGGTTGGAGAGTTTTGTGATTTCTTCGTTAACAGTTATCATTTTGAGGTTTATTGCGATCGTCTGTTTTGAAACATACCATGGAGCATTAGTGGAACATTACTGTAGGACTTTCAATTGGAATCTTTAAAGAATGTCCATTCTTGAAAGGTTAAAAGCTTGAATTCTATAGTTCTAAATGGGTTTTAAAATAACTTTTACTAAAATATGTTTGTTGTTGAGTTTGTAATTTTGTTGTCGATTGACAGATTTGACTTTCGGCAGGCTAGATTTAAGGCATAGCTGTTTTCGTTTGTTAAATATGTGTTTTCTCTTTGCAAGCCTGCGATCCAAATGCATTCCCAATTATTTGGCATCTCCCAAGATTGCATTTTATACACAAGATTGATCAATATTTTAACTCGGATATCAAATGCAGAACAATTATTACTATAGACATTAGCCAGAAGGTTCCACGAACTTTACTTTAGAATAATTATTATTCTATGTGAGAGAAGTTCGAGAAAACTTTGTAATGGTAATCGCCAACGTCACATATACGGATATTGCACGTGAAGAAGAACCATTCTTTCCTAAATAAAACTCAGATTGTAAAATAATTGATATGTTAGATAAAAAAACTATAATTCTTCTACTATTCTTATTGCATTTGTTATACGTTTTAAACTCACTATTGGATTTGATATTTCAGTATCGATAAAAATATTGAATTGCAATTTTAGTGACTGGACTAGTTGTTTCAACATCCAACCTTAGAGTCTAAAGAGGGATTGTCAAACTATTTATGCATATCACACTTTTATTTTTTTAATATTATCAGCGTCATTCTCGTTTCATAGTGTCAATTGAAAATGTGGGTACGGTGTTTGGTTTCAGTGCTTTTCCTCATCAATGTAAGACATTTTTTATACCTATATGTATTTGTTACTTTGTATAAAGATCAAGTAAAACGAGGTAAAAAAAAGAAAACCGCTTTTCTGAATTATGCAGTCTGTGTATTGTTTATTTATTGGTAATTGTAAAGAATTTTAAATATGTTTCATTTTTATGGGATAGTATTTCATATTTTATAAATTTTTATCATTTAATAAGTGTATTAGACGTATATGATTTTGATATTTTAATCATAGTAAGTGTATGTCTTTGCTCACTTATATGAGTGTATTAAGCAGTTCATTTCAAAATTATCTTCCATTTATATTAATAATATTTAGTTAGAATAGTTTTAGTTTAGTTAAAATACAGAAAAAAAATATAAAACCAACTTGCATGGTTTAATGTGCTACAATAATGAAAGAATATTTGAACTCTTTTTTTTCTCACGTCAATGTTATCGTTTTCTAACATTTTATTCTCAGCGATCTTCTCTGATATTTTTTCCTGTGTAAGTATTCCGTCGATTCCGTATTTAGTCCTTCGACGTTGATTTTTGTTTGTGTTGGCGCCGCTCTTTTGGGGTAGGAAGTATTTCAGGATTATTCTTATTTTACATAATACTAGGTTGTGGTCGCTACCTATATCTGCTGAGTTGAGGCATCTTACGTCGATAATTATTGATGGATGTATATCTCTTTGTACACGGGTGTTATTTAATGTATATTTGTGTTGGTCTTTGTGGTCAAAAAATGTGTTGTTTATTCTTAGGTCGTTATTCGTGCAGAAACTGATCATCAGTTCTTCATTTTCGTTCTTAACATTCTCGTTATGTTTTTGTTTAATGCCGCGTATTACTTGATTGCCTATTCGAGCGTTAAAATCCCCCAATATTATTATCTTTTCCTTGACTTGATCTACTACTTGTTGTAATTGGTCGTAAAACGCTTCCCTTGTTGTTTGGGGCTTGTTATTTTCTGGGACGTATACTCCGATGATGTTCAGGTCTTCCTTCTCCATTTCTTATCTCTGCTGTTACTATTCTTTCTGATATTTATTGACACTCTTTGACGTGATTTTGGTGCCTTCGGTGTATGAGTAAGGCTACACCTTCTTTGATCCTGTTTTTATTTGCTATTCCACTGTAGATTAGTATGAATTCACCTAATTTTGATTAAATATCAACCTTCGTGAATATCTTGTATTTAATTGGTAGTAAACTTATAGGTCTGTAGCTTTTGATATCCTCTTTGCTACCTTTCTTATGAATGAGAATTATGTTTGCTGTATTTCAGTGGTCTAGTATGCATCTTAATCTTTATTATCATCAACCTGTATTCAGCTGGTCAGTTATAGTTTTTTTTTCTGTTTTCGATTGTATCTTTTACCAGTCTTACTGTCTTCCTTATTCTACCTTATTCTTACTGTCTTCCTTAATACTTTTCCTTATTATCTTACAGAGTTCTGAGTATTTGTATTCTCTGTATGTTGCTATTTACTTTCATTTCTCTTCTTTGTTATAGCATTATTTTGGTTTTATCAGAAAGTTTACTTTGTTCATTTTGTTTTTGTGGGTCTCCGATTTCACTATCAATGATGATTTCTATTAATTGGGAGCTGTTAATTTGGCCATGTGATCTATCAATTGAATTTGGCATTGATTTGAGTTTTCTTTGAGATTGTTAATGTTTATACTGGTTACTGTTGTTTTGTGATCAATTTTATTCTTTCTAGTTTCAGATCTAGCATAATTTTTGCTCTTTTTAGTATATGGTTCGCTGCCTGGTTGAAATTTATTTATTACGCTGACATCTTTTATTGTAGCAAATCTTGTTTGGTTATAATAAAGTTAATTTCGTTCTTAGTGGTTCTATTTGGTGCTATCCAAGTCCGTTTGATGGCATTAAAGTCACCAATTAAATACTTTAAATAATTTTTATTGTTATTTAGTGCTTCAGTTATCTTACTGCAGAGTTTGTCTATTTTTTCGTCAGTGTGACTACTCGTTGGGTCATATATAATAATAATAATAATAATAATAATAATAATAATAAGACTAAAACGGATATAGAAAGTCTTCAGAGAAAAGTACGAACACACCTCACAAAGGCACAAAAACACCATCCTCGAAGTGCAGTAGAAAGAACGACATTACCACGGTATTTAGGAGGACGAGGACTTATTGATATAAGCGAACAATTAGATAAACAGATCAATAATTTAAGAACTTATTTTCAGGTGCAGGCGGAGACATCTACTCTTCATCGCGCGATTTGCGCAGTAGACGACACAACACCGATCAACCTGAGGGAACAAGAAATGCGCATAAACCATCTTACTAAGAACGGAAAAATGCGCATCTGGATGGGTAAACCTCTGCACGGGCGACATCCGAATGAAGTCAGTCAAGACTATGTCGACAATATAGCGTCGAACTATTGGCTGACATCAGGAAAGATGTTCCCTGAAACAGAAGGTTCATTACTCGCCATTCAGGATCAGGTTATACCAACCAAAAATTACCTGAAATATATTGTCAAAGACCCTCAGGTCCAAAACGACAAATGCCGATATGGATGTCAAGCCCAAGAAACGATCCAACATCTTACCGGAGGCTGCCAGGCATTTGCTGCAACTGAATATAAGGAACGGCATGACTCAGTAGGGAAGATCCTCCATCAAGAGATAGCTATTAAACTGGGACTTCTACAAACAAACCATCTCCCATATTATCAATACGTTCCAGAGAGTATGCTTGAGAATAACAACTACAAGCTATACTGGGATCGTACTGTGCTCACAGACCAAACTGTAGCACATAATAGACCAGATCTCGTGCTAGTTAATAAACTAACAAGACAAACAACTCTAATCGATGTGGCGATACCTAACAACAATAACCTGCGTGTTAAGTACAACGAAAAGATCGCCAAGTACAGAGATCTGGAAATACAAATAAGAAGACAATGGAGAATGGAAAGTACCCAGACGATACCGATTATTCTTTCTACCACTGGAGTCATTCCGAAGAACCTCCTAGAAAACATAAAAAAGCTGGGTCTAAATGAACATCTATATAAGGTCATGCAGAAAGCTGTGCTACTTTCGACGTCTAGATGCGTGCGAAAATTTTTAGGAGATACACCGACGTACCAAGTCACCTAGGACTCGATAACATGGAAAGAGTCCCACCAGAGCTCAATCCTTTTGATACCGTAGGTATCTGGGATGAGTGAATTTTCCCCTTAGAGGGAGTGTGAGCCGTATGGCTAAATCTGGATAATAATAAATATATAAATAAATAATAATAAAATAAATAAAATAAATAATAATAAAAGCTCAATCCTTTTGATACCGTAGGTATCTGGGATGAGTGAATTTTCCCCTTAGAGGGAGTGTGAGCCGTATGGCTAAATCTGAATAATAATAATTAACGAAAATTTCTGGGAGATACTCCAATATACCAAGTCACCTAGGGCTCGATAACATGGAAAGAGTCCCACCAGAGCTCAATCCTTTTGATACCGTAGGTATCTGGGATGAGTGAATTTTCCCCTTAGAGGGAGTGTGAGCCGTATGGCTAAATCTGGGATAATAATAATAATAATAAATGTCTTTATTAACAAGTAAATTAAATTTTTCTTTACAATAAAATATAATATAACAGTAGGGCGAGATTCAGTTTGTATACCACTGTGTAACAGCGGCATACAACTGCTCTTCCACCTAACCCCCCGAAGATAGGATAGATAGACTATATCTAAATAATGAAATTATTGTATTTTACAATTAAACATAAAAATATAACATATTAAATTTATAAATTATAAATTTTAAACTATTTCCTTTTTTTTATTTCTTAAATTTTTAAATTCTTAAATTTTTAAATTACTGTTTAGCTAACAACTGTTCATAAATTAATCTCTTGAATTTGACACTAGACAGATTTTTAATATTGTAGGACAAACTGTTAATATTGCAAGCAATTGAATACGAAAATGAACGTTTAAAAAAGCATGTTGTATGTTTAGGTAAAGTGAGGGTATTCTTATGTCTAAGATTAAGATTATGAATGTCTATCCTATAAGTTATTCGATTGTACAGATATGGTGGAACTCTCTCTTGAATGATTTTATGATAAAAACATAATGCATGAAGTTTCCGACGATTTTTCATATTTAGCCACTTGACTACGTTGAAAACATGACTTATTCTTTGAAATTTCCTGATGCCAAATATCAAACGCAAACAAGAATTTTGCAATTTCTGTATTCTCCATGAATCGAATTCAGTGAGACACGCATTATAAAGCACGTCACAATAATTTAATTTTGATAATACCAGAGCATTACATAACAATGACTTTGTGGCTCTACTTAATAAATAACGGCTTTGATACAGTAATTTTAAAACTGCGTAAGCTCTTTGTAAACAAATACTTACATGATATGTAAACCTTAAATCTTCGTCGAACCAAACCCCTAGGCTTTTAATCTTTTTGCTAAACATTACATTGTCATTTCCTAAGATAATTCGATTGGCATAATTCTCTAAAAATATTTTTCCTATGAAGGTTCCTCCCAAAAATGATACCCTGAGTTTTTGATGTATTCAATTTTAAACAATGATTTTGAGAAAAACTCTGCAGATGCAGAAGATCATGATTTATTGCATTTACCGCTTGATCACACTCATTTGGATAAAATGACATATACAGTTGGGTATCGTCAGCGTAATAATGTTGTGAACAGGACAAAAACACAGAGGGAAAATTAGATGTGTATATAGAGAATAAAATTGGACCTAATATAGATCCTTGAGGTACACCAGTATTAAGATCTAAAAATGAAGAAATATTTTGATTAAGTTTTACTGCTTGACATCTATTAGAAAGATAGGATTTCATTAGATCAACTGTTCTCGCATCTAGACCAATATATTTTAGAATAGAGAATAACAAGTTATGGTTAATTGTATCAAAAGCTTTGTATAATTTGTATCTCTGTGATAGTTGTATGGT